ACCTGTCTAGCAAGTGTCATTTTGTACAACGTGACATTAATAAGATCAAAAGAAGGTATTGTTATAGGTTCCTTGAGAGAAATGAGAAGATGAAACTAACTCCATTAAATCAACTTCCGCCTTATTTCCTCCTGAAGAACAACCAGTTGCTTGATTCATCTGCATATTCATGATGTTTCCATATCCGAAGCACTCCGGATTATAAGATGAACCATCTAGAAGGTACGGAAGGTAAACGTCAGGACAAAAATGTTGAGAATACTGTAATTGAGCCTCTTGACCCTTAGATAGCGGATTTTCACCAAAGGAATTGAAGGCTGAGTTAGAGATAGATGAGTTGTTGTCAAAAAGATTTTGAGTTACTTTTGCCTCCATAGAGTGATCAATGGCTTTAGTACCATTATTGTCACTCAAGAGTGAATTTTTTCCAAATAAATTTTGCATGAAGTTCATTTCTTCATCACATGTATGATGAGTGAGCAACGATGGAGAATCATCGTCAGAGTATGTTAGGGTTGCATTTGTGATGTTACTATTTCTCTGTGTGATAGTGGTGGTGGTGGAACTGCATCCACCGCTACCACCAGAACCACCGCCATCGTGGTATGTGGCGGTGGTGAGGGGAGAATCAACAGCGAAGCACACGCTTCTTATATAATCTTGGAGAATATTGGAGCGATTTTTGCGTTCATTTTGGCCATCTTGTTGATTTTTTCTCTTCTTATTTCTCCTTGAATTCATCCTTCTTTTAGTCGCATTCCAATGGTTCTTGATTGAATTTTCAGTCCTTCCATCAATTCTCTTTGCAATTTCTGCCCATTTGTTTCCAAGTTGCTTATGTGCTTCCACTAACAACAACTCTTCTTCTTCACTCCATGTATCTTTCTAAAAGAAAAAAAAAATCAAAAGATAATTGTGATAAAGAAATATATAATTAACAGTGAAGATGTTCATAATTTACAAGAAATCTACATATTTAATTACTTTTCCAATGAGGTGGAGTCACTTTTATAACAAATTTTGATGCTTTGTCAAAGAAAAGTTTCACAGTCACGTGAAAATGGAGGTTGAAATCAGTCAAGCTTTGTGAGAAGAATGAAAGAAATATACAGTAGAAAACAAACCCTAAAATACCTTTTTGGAGGAAATCCTTGTGACCAAAAAGGTAAGAGCATAAAAACTAAATAACCAAATCGAAAAAGACATTTCTCATAAAGAACTTCAGGCCCAAGCTTTAATTCCGAACCAAAAAAATGGAGAGAAAATCTTCAAACATCTGAAGTTCTATAGGTTAATTCTAGTCCTTAAAGAACATCAAAAAATGTTTTCTGATAGAGGAATCATTCATTACAAAAAAATAAAACAACCTTTTTTCAGCGGATAAAAACAACAAAATTAAGGGGCTTGAAAATATTTGGAAAAATATTTGGTTACTGGCTAAAATAAAAATGGACAGTGGAAATCTGAATGATTAAACATCACCCAAAATCTAGAGCGGATCTGAGTTCTTAAAAAAAAAAAAAAACTGAGTTCTTAGATAACGTTTGCATGTATCTATTTAAAATTTAACACTCTTATTTGGTCATGAGAGCCAAAAGACATTTTTTTTAGGGTTGTATTAGGCTATATTGACAAATAAAAATTTTAACGCTTCGGAAGATAAGGGAAAATTAACAGAATTTTTTTTATGGGAAACGAAAACCTTGATATCTGGACGCAAATGATTATGCCATCTCTCTCGACACTGTTTCCCTGCTCTAGCGTCCATTTTCTCAGCAATTTGAGCCCATTTCCTTACTCCAAATTGTTTTACCAACCTAAGCAGTTTCCTTCATTATCCACAAAAAATATAAAAATTAGTAGAACACTTCAGTTATAGAAAAAATAAAATAGTAGCGAAAAAGATAATTTAAGAAAAGAAACGAGCTTCGGGAAGTAATAAAGAAAATTCATGTTTCTTTTTTTGGACAAGTATATTACCTGTCTTCTTCATCAGTCCACTGACCCTTGACCAAATAATTTGTTGTTGAAGAACCTTCTTTTGCTTTTTTCCCACTCTCCCTTTTATTTTTTTGAACTGATTTCACTTCTTCTATTAAACCATTCTCTTGTTCGTTGAGAAAAAACCCTTCAATAAAACTTGGCTCTGGTAAACTTTTTGGCCAAGAAACTCCATTTGCATGGCTACTACTACTACTTAAAGGGTAAAAATAATTTTCATGACTCAATAAGAACCTATCTATGGCAGTAAATGGAGGAGTTGATCCAAGGTAATTTTTTGGTAAGTTTTGATAGGGATGAAAAGCACTACTACCACCATCCATGGAAAGAGAAGAAGAAGAAGAAGAAAAAAGGAATGTTTTCAGCAAAGAAATTTGCTTTGAAAAAAAGGAAAGTGTTTACGTTTTCTTCTTAGTTTGGAAGATATGGTCATATGACAATAGCTGAATAAAGAGCTTATAATACTGTGGCTTCTTGCAAGGAGCTGAGGGGAATGCCAGCCGTTGATCTTAGAATCCATCCAACGGTTTAGAAAGGTTGTGTGTTAGCTATAACTCCTGAGCTTCCTATTTAGTGTCAACAGTAGAAAGAAAGGTGGAGAGATTAGTGCTGTCCTTAATAAATTGTCATTATTGTATCATTTTCTATAATAAAAATTAAAGTTTAATTAGTCGTGGTGAATTTATTGAGAACTTATTTTTATTGACAGTAATGATATGCTACTACCTGATATATATATATATANATATTTATGCCCAAAAGTTCATGTTTATCCAAATTTTCGCCCATGAAACAAGCCAGTGATGTATATATATATATAAATGAAAAGGATAGAGAAAATTAAGGTAAAAGAGGAAGAATTACAGTTCTTAGAACCAATGCGACTTGAAAACTTTTTTAGAGGGAAGGGTAAATTAAAAGGATCATAATTAATAAGGTAATTGATGCTCATAATTTTCTCCCTAGTAATAGAGGGAATTATGGACGACTTTAAGTTCCATATAATAGCTCTACAATTACTACTAAATGCTCACTCATTCGCGATAATTTGACAACCCTAAGCTTACAATTAATTTCATTTTTCTCTACTCCTTTTCTTTTCATCATGCAGGTACACTTTGAAATTCTAGCTAGGGTTCATCTCATGATGCATGAATCACTAGCATAATATATTTTTCCAATCTTTGGACAACCACAGCAACATGCAAGGAGATGGTCATTATGTTCTTGAACGTGTTGTTAAGCATATTAGTATTTTATAAACTCATATGTACCAGAAAGAAAAACTCAATTGTAGCCGTCGATCGTGTTGTAATAAGAAGTAAAATTCAATTGGAATTACTAGATAGTCATTAGGATATTCCTCGAGAAGGGCAGCCTGGTTTACGAAGTATCCCGCATTCACACTGTTATGCGGCGTCTTTTTGAGATTTCTTGGAAGGGCTATGTAAGGCTAAGCAACTGATGTCAGTGCAGTCACTATCCGCCAACTGAGGTCCCCTTCGTACGCTAGACGAGATTGTTAGTGTCATACGGGAAAACCAATATCAAGAGCAATTGAAAGAACATAAATGAGAGTTGAGAATGAAAAAAACTTGATTGCATTAATGAAAGCTATTACAGAAAGGCAACGTGGTATCGAGAGGGAGAGACACCAGTACAGAGAATTGTTTGCTTGTTAGAAAGTTTGATTGCTTGATCCCCCTAATAGTGCTTAAAAAATATGAACCAAAGTTACAAGACTAGACTTAACTAAGCTAGAGAAACATAATGGAAGTACGTGAAATAAAACTACTTTATATTTATAATGGAAAGGACTTAGTTTTCTATAAGGCAGAAACAGGTTTGTTGTCTGCAACATTGTCTTTGGCATCCTGGCCTGCGCGCGCGGCGCTGTTGGCATCTGCCTGCGGCTGGGCGCTGGCGAGGAATATCGGTGGGGCGACAGAGACACATGCGCGCTTGTCACTTGGCGCAGCCAAGACCACGGAGCCGTCCGTGGCTCTAGGCGTTGAAAGGCTTGCTAGGACGCCACGGGGCTCGCCCAAGGGGTCATGGGGCATGGCTATAAAGCTACGCCTGACATTCTCCCCCACCTGAGTTGGCTACTTGCAAGATAATCATCAATTAGGCTCTTGTAGGCTTTAAGGTTTGTTCCCCTCTCCCAAGTATTCTCCTTTGCATCACAGCCCTACCATTTCACCAATAACTCTTGGTGATCTTTCCTTGAGGCGTGAATCACTCGATCATTAAGAATAGCTTCAACACGTCTTTTTCTGGTTGCATTGGGCCTCGAATGCTAGGTATTGTGAGATGGCTCCGTGAAGGATCCTCCGTGTCTTCCCGAAAAGGTTTCAGAAGGCTGACATGGAAGGTGGAATGAATTTTCCACCAAGCTGGGGTATCCACTCGGTATGCAATTTTTCCAATGCGCTTTTCAATGGACAAGGGTCCAATGTATTTTTACAATAGGCCAGGGTCATGGACTTTCGCAAATAAGTACCGCTTGCGATTTTGACTATCACTTTGTCTCCTACTTGGTATTCAACAAAGCGACGATTGTAGACATGTGATTTTTGACCCTCCCCGAGATTTTTCATATTTTAGCATGTAAATATTTAATTTAGGCCTAATATAGCTATTTCAATTATTTTTGACTTCTTTACTTTATTTTCGTCATGAAAATGGAAATTTACAAAAAAATATTTTAGCTTACGTATCTTTCATAAATTTAAATAAAAAGTATATACAAAAATAGTACCTTATTTTTATCTTTACATAATCTTGAAAATACAAAAATACGTAATAGTTTTATGTTAGCTTTTGGATTGTGTAGTATTTTTATCTTATTTTAAATGGAGTTCATTAAGGTGTTGAATCACAATTTTAAGAGTTTTAGAGCTCAATTCTTGGCCCAATTCGGTTTAGTTCATTAAGCCTAGGGACCCTTCTAGACTTTTCTTTGGAACAAAAACAAATAAAAAAGACCTTAATGACTTAACACAAAAAGATCTAGCGACTAATTGGCAAAATACATAAAAAAAAAAATACACATCTAGACCTAGACCTATATAATAGGGTTAAGCCTAAATCAAAGAAAAAAAACAACACATACAAAAAGAACGCCTATACACTCTGCAAAAAAAAAATGAGCGCCGCGGAGAACAATACAGACTCACCCACTGCTTTTTCTTCGCCGGAATCAAAAATCCCATCGCCGTTGCTTCTTCTTCTTCGCACGGAACACATGAACGACCATCTCCACCCTAGACGAAATTGGTTTCTTCGTTCATGATCCAGTTTCGAGCGAAAATCAGAAAACCAGATTGAAAGGAAAAAGTTTTAGGGTCGTTGTTCAAATTCGAGGTCGCCGGAGGCGTCGAGGTACTGTCCGTTGGTTTTCCGGTTCGATTTTTACTGATTTCGTTTGAAGCTGTGTCGATTTCTGACTGTAATTGTCGCTTCTTTTCAATCCGTGTAATTGTTGCATTTCAATTAATCGAAAAGCTAATTTTAGTTCTTAAGCCTTATTTTTGCAGCTGGAATTTCGTTAATTTGAGTCCATTTCGGAGCTCGTGCGTGAGATTCATTTGGAGCTGACGAGCGCGAGATGTCGGTCGAGGTTTAAGTTCGTGATTTCTGTCCGGATTTGCTGCTGTTTCTCGGACAGATTTCGTGGATTGGAAATTCTGCAGTCGGACATCTTGCCACTGATTGTAGAGCAGTTGACGAGCTAAACTCTATCGCAATGTATTCAGTGATGAAGCTGTTGCTGCTTACGTTGGAACTAATAGGGAGGCTTTGAAGGAATTGTCTTTCAATTTTGCCAGTAAGTAAGATTGGTACAGCATGCAATAGGAGTGGTACTACTGGGATGCCAAGTTTCATTTCTCAGATACTTGTTTCTAATCCCATGGGCACAGACGCGAACATTACAAATACTTCTAGAATGTCTGATTTTGGGGTGCTCGAGCAATATCTTGGACTCCGTATTGGAGATGGCGCTAATGTTAATCGAACATGTATTTTGATCTCGGCTCTTGGAGTTGGATTGAGGTCGTGTTCGGGTTTCGAGTTTCCGTCCGCAGTTCGTCACATTTTTTGAGTTCAAAGCTGTCAAACAATTGAATTTCAGACCTATTTGAGGTTCATTTCTTCGCATCCTTTCTTTTAAATTCTAAACTAGTTGATGAATATTCTGTTCTATGTCCCAAAATGAAACCTGCTTATATGTCTTTGGTATTGTGTGATATTTTTGAGTTATTAGCTTTAACGTTTGCATCAGGGATAAATGAATGCTTACAGAATTTTGCTTAAATTACTAAGATTGTCGCAATAAATGAATTAACAGTCGAGGAAAATATTTCTGAAAGTACATGAGAGGAAAATAATTTCAACCGAATCAATCTTTGCTTCATTGAGCCAGTCAAATTATTAACAGTCGGATGAATCTCTTTCTAGACAAATTACCAACTTAAGACAATGACGTGAATAGGCGTTATTTTAGAAGTTGAATAAGTTATATGACTTATAATTGATATGAGATTATTGTTCAATAAAGTGGATTTAGGAAATATACCCTTTTTATAGGCACGATTAACAAATTATCATGATTATGGGTACGGTTCCCGTGACGTAGTCGTGGTACTTAATTTCGAACTAGTTTTAAACATGAATATCCTTAGTTCATTTAGTTGAATGGTTTTGAGGCGTGCTATATTAGGCAAGACATAGTTAATATCCCTCAAAGTTTAGTTTGAGTTTTCCTTTAAAATTGGGATTGAAGCGTGTCGTGCTGAATAAAATCTTGAAATGCATGACCCTCCCTCAGTTAATATTTTAATCCTTAGAATTCGAGGTGTGTCATTTAGCGAATTTTCCATGACCCTCGCAAAGTTGAAAATGCGTAGTTGCTTCAGGCGCGTTATTTTAATAATTTACCTTCCTAAACTCGGGTGTGCATTTATGTGACCCAAATCCAAATCTCAACAATGTTAGATAAAATATGCCGAGGACCGCGGGTGCATTTATGTGACGTGGTTCAAGACGTGTTTTAAGTAACGTTGAAATCTTCCTAAAAATATTTAAATTAAAAGCGGTTTCAAAGTTAAAATGTATCATAGGCTAAAACATGTACTAAAATCAGATAATTAAGCCGAATATAACAGTTGAGCGACCGTGCTAGAACCACGGAACTCGGGAGTGCCTAACACCTTCTCCCGGGTTATCAGAATTCCTTACCCGAATTTCTGGTTCGCGGATTGTAATACAGAGTCAATCTTTTCCTCCATTCGGGATTTGAACCAGTAACTTGGGACACTATAAATTATTCCAAGTGGCGACTCTGAATTTTTAATAAATTAATCCCGTTTCAATTGTCACTCTAAGTTGGAAAAAACTCCCTTATATACTCTCTTCCGGGGGTGTAGTAAAAAGGAGGTGTGACAGCTCTAGCGACTCTGCTTGGGAACGAACCCAGAATCTCTTGTTCAGGGTTCAAGAATTCGAGCTTAGATGAATTGTTACATTTGGTTTTATCTGTTATCTGATTTTATTACATGTTTGAGTCTAATGTGCTAAATGTTGCTTTTTATCGCTTTGATATTATCTGAACTGTATATATAAACTGCTACGAAACCCCTCTCTTCTCTCTCCCGAGGAGTGCACGCTGGTCGTGACTTCTTTCTGTTAGTGTCATATCCCAAATAGAACGAGGTTCGGACAAGTTGCAAAGCTGGATGATCTTTTGGTTACCGGTACACTGCCCCCCTNAGTGCACGCTGGTCGTGACTTCTTTCTGTTAGTGTCATATCCCAAATAGAACGAGGTTCGGACAAGTTGCAAAGCTGGATGATCTTTTGGTTACCGGTACACAGCCCCCTCTCGGCTTGAGTTGTTCGCTCGGGTAAGCCAGGTCTAGAACAAATAAACCCAAGTTTTTATAACCTAGTATAACAATACCTCATGCCGGATCCCTAGTAGGAACGTTTGTTTGCATCATGTGCATTTTGGCTTATGAGACTCAACACAGGGGTTGGGTCCGTCTAGAACAGGTATACCCCAAGAAATAAAAGACCATCCTGATGCATCTTATGTGCTACATGTTGCATTTATTCAAGGGTAAAAGGGTCATTTGGCGGACCAATGATAGCTGAGGGTAGATGAAGAAATGAAAAAAAAATAATGAAAAAAGAAAGAAGAAAGAAAAAGAGGGTGAAGTGTGAAGATAAAGCGAGTGGGGCCTAATTCTGTTTTGTGTTACATTTTGTTAAGAAAAAAAGAGCTTGAAAAATTCAAAAATCAAAAAAAAGGGAAAATAAAATAAAAAAAGAGTTTACATGTTTCATCATTTTTCAAAAAAAAAAAAAAAAAAACACACAAAAAAAACATATTTTCTCTAAATTAGTTGTTATTTTTATCTTTCGCCCGTATTCAATCTTTCCGAACTACGCTTACCTGATTCTTGTCTTTCGGGGCGTGATACGTAGGCAACCCACATAGGGTCCGGTCTTCCTAGTAAATCTTAGGTTCTTGGCTTTGCGGGGTCTTAGCCAAATTTTGCACTTCTAACCACTTTTTGACCAAATAAGTCATTTTGCAAAATAGCCTCAATCATGTCTTGCATGTGTCTAGTAGGGAATGTTATTGTCTCACATAGTGTTGGTTTAAGTTTTCTCATACAGGTGTGGATCCACTTACCGGAGTTTGAGCATGACAGATACCCCATGACCACCGCATTCAGGAGTTGCTTAAGGAGATTTTTTATATTTGTTATTTTTATTTTATTTTTATGTTTGGAGTATGTTTTTTTACGTCGACTTTTACTTTCTAGTTTTGTATAGCAATGTCGAGTTTTTTGTTATTGTACTTTTATTTTGTATTTGAAAAGGTGTGGTGTAACTCAAAATTAAAAAAAAGATATTTTACGTTTTTATATTTCCGTTAGAATTTTCTTTAGAAATACTACTCCTAGAAATCAAGAAGAAAAAAAAGAAAGTTTGAGGTGGTTTTATTTTAGGAAGTTAGTATCTAGAAATTCTTTTTTTAAAAAAACAAATTTGCTTTTATACTTCCCTTAGTATATTAGGACCAAAAAAAGAAAAAAAAAAGAAAAAAAAAAGTGAATTTTCTTTTAGTACCTCTTTAAAAGTTTTCTTTAAGACATTAATTCCAAAATCCAAAACGATTTTCTTGTGAGGTGTTTCTTTGGGAAATTAATGAAAGATGAAAAAAAAAATTATTTTCATTAGAACTTTAGGATATTGTATACTTTACCTTTTGTTTATCATTAGAATTTTTCCTTTAGACAATCAAAATTGAAATCCAAAAATATTTTGTTTTATCTTTTTCATTGCTTGCTTCGAAATCTTGCGTCAGGATATCAAATGAAAATTCAAAATATTTTTCTATGGTTTATTCTTTCGATCTTCTTCCTAAAAAAAAGAATCAAAAAATATTTTTGTTTTCTCTTCTAGGGTTTTTCCTTAATAATTTGCCATAGAGTGTATGTTTCAAAAAAGAAAAAAAAAACAAAAAATATATACTCGTTAAGCTTGAGTTTGCAATAGGTTATAGAACATTAAGTCTAAAAAATTCAAAAATAAAAAAAGTGATTTGTTTCTTTTATTTTCTTTTTCTCGTCAGAGTCATTAAGGTAAAAAGAAGAGAATGTTAGTTTGTTTCCTTTATTCCCGATCTGTCAGAACTACGCAAAGATCTGATTCATGCGGGGTCATGATACGTAGGCAACCTACATAGGGTTCAATTGAATCATTTTTTTTATTATTATTAAAATAAAAGAGAAAAAAAGAAAAAAAAAGAAAAAAAAGGGAAACGAAAAAAAAAAGTGAAATTGTGGGATGTGAGATATGAGAGAAAGAAAGAGTGATGATTAAAAAAAAAGAGAAATGAAGGAAAATGGGGAAGCCAGCAAGTGCTAGAAAGGCAAAGAAAAGAGAGGTTGAATTGAACAAATTGGGATAATGTCAATTGACCTTTGTACCCTCGAAGTCATTTTAGAACCGATAACTGTGGCTAGGTGCATTGCACATAAAGTGAGATTATATTAAATGCCCTAACGCTAACGTGATGACTTCATTTTGTTATATTCATAGCAGAAGGGTGGTTGGTTTGTGGTTTTAAAGTAGTAACTCTCCTCTACAACATAAAGTCAAAAGACAATGGCAGACAACAACAGAACTGAGTTGGTTGATACCAGCGCTCGAAAGCAGTTGGTCGAACAGGACAATGGGTTGGTTGAAGAGGTAAAGATGTTAAAACAACACATGACTGATATGTATCGGGCTTGGATGACTGGGAAGGCACCACCCCCTCCACCACCTAGCTTCATAGATGCTGCCCTTACCCAAACTCTGGACACAATGCCAGATGATCCTCCACACTCTCTAGATCCACCCGCTTGTCTCCAAGCTCATGATGCCCAATATTACCCCTCAGAGGTTGCCCACAAGGTTCCCTATTCATACAAACAGGGCCCAAGGGATGAGCCTCATATTGAAAATGAAAGGTTCACAGGAAGAAAAGGGAAAGATGGGGAACCTAGGAGGCTAAAAGGCATAGAAAAGTCCTTAAAGAACAAGCAAGGAATGAGAGACCAGGGAAGCGTGGCTTACAAAGAACTGTCTGTGTCCCCTGCGTTCGCCTTCCCGCGGGGTTTAAAGTGCCAAAATTTAACTTGTATGATGGGTGTGGGGATCCGGTTGCCCACCTGAAGGTTTATTGCAGTGAAATGAGAGGTGTTGGAGAAAGATGACTTGATGATGGCGTATTTCAGTGAGAGCCTGACTGGGGAAGCTTTAGACTGGCATGCTCATCAAGATGTTGGTAAGTGGCCTACATTGGGTGACATGGCTCAAGATTTTGTTCAATACTTTCGATACAAATCAGGCGTTACCCCAGACCGCTCCTCCATATCTAGAATGGGAAAAAAGCCGGAGGAAAGCTTTAGAGAGTTCGGGCTCAGACGGAGGGAGCAGGCTGCTCGAGTCAATACCCCGATTGGTGAAGAAGAAATAGTTGAGCTTTTCCTACAAGCCCAGGGGCCCACCTACTTCAGTCATTTGATCTTGGCCCTGGGGAAGCCTTTCAATGATGTGTTAAAAATGGGGGAGCTAGTTGAAGAGGGAATCAAGTCAGGCAAAATCATGAGTTGTTTGAAAAACATTCAGAACATCTCAGTAAGCTTGGGTAGAAGAAAGAAAAATAGAAAAGATGATCCAATGGGC